CAGGCGGAAGAGCGAAGCAGCCGCCACCGCCACGGTTGTGCCCGGCGCTCCGTGGGGTTATATGCACCTGGCCGCGTTACTGCTCGCCCTGGAGAAGGGAGAGAAGGGCCCGCAGGACTCCGCCATGTGCTCGGTGAGCGAGGCCAGCAGCACGGACCCCTTGGTGCTCCGCTTCAAGCAGGTGGAGGAGACGCTGGAGAAGCTGCACCGCGAGAACCGCAGCCTGAAGAGCAAAGTGCCGCGCTACAACGCGCTCTGCACGCTCTACCACGAGTCGGCCCAGCAGCTGAAGCAGCTGCAGCTGCAGCTGGCCGCCAAGGAGGCCACGATCCGCGAGCTGAGGAGCGGCGCGGCCCGGCAGCCGGGCGAGGCGGCGGCGGCCGAGCCCGCGCGCTCGCTCGTCGAGAGCCTCGTGGAGCAGCTGGGCCAGGCGCGGCAGCAGCTCCGCGAGAGCGAGCGGCGCGCGGCGCAGCGCGAGGACGCCCTGCGGCAGGTGAGGCGGGCTCGCGCCGCGCCGCGGGGCCGAGCGGGGCCACCGGGAGCCGGCGCCACGCGCGGAGCGGGGCCCGACACGGGCTGCGCCCCGAGCGCCTCCGCCATGCCCGGCACAACCGCTTTGCAGCGCGCTAGGCTCAGTAACCTAAGGATTACCTAGCCCGGTAATCCGTATGCAGCTGCCAAGACGGAGCTTACCCTGGCCCTGCAAGCGTCACAGGACTATTTTTTCCACAAGCAGCTGCAGAAAATAGGCAGCAAAGATTATATTCACAAGTTCCATATTGCTTCTATCTGATCAAGAGGAAGCTTTATTTTAATGTAACTTTTTCTCATATGATAAAAAAATTTCAACTTTTTTTTCCTATTAGAATAGAATTCTTTTTTAAGATCACCCTTTTAAAAAGGGTTTTCTTGCATTATTGCTAAAATAGCAGTCTGGTACTTGGAGAAGTTATTGGCAAGTCTAGATTGGGAGGCGGTGGATTAGGAGAATAGAATGTTTTTGTGATAGAAAATAGTCTAAAGTCTGTGTCCTCTCCCATCCCCCCAACCATTACTTTTGGTGCTGTTATGACTTTCCTGTGTTCAGTCTGAGATGCTTAAAGAATTTTAAAGCATTTCTTTCCATATGAAGCTGCAGAAAGAAATTCCCAACCCGAAAAGTTGTCCTTAAAATTGAAACAAGCGTTCTCGTCATAAGTAGTCTCTTGGCCTACTGCTTATACAAATCACTTTCCACATATGACACTTGCCTAAAATACATTTAAATAAGTGCAGGTCTGGAGATCTGTAACAACAGAAGCTTATGGAGAGTGCAGACAGAGCAAACCTGGGTATCGGAGGGTGTTCTCATCGGTGCAGGGGCAGTGTCACAGGGGTTGCAGGTACCAGCTCCGTTGCTCCTCGTGACATCGTGCAGCACCAGCTGTATTTTTGAGACTGTCAAGTACAGCTCATGCTGGACAAGCTGGGGGCTGCCTTGCTGGAGGTGCTGCTGCATGACTTGGCATTGCAGCCTGATTGCACCGCGCTCCCCAAGCAAACTGGGTCCTTCTCCCACTCCTGGTGTTGAGCAGGTGACCCTACAGAGCCCCCCTTTGAATGAGGGAGACCCCCCTCCTGTGTTTTGGAGACAGTTACAGACAGAATAGAGTTACCACCACCACAAAGACACTGTTTTGTGTTTGCCTGTCCTTACCACTCATCCTTTCCTCAGTGGAAAAGTCTTGTGTGCGCCGGCTCTGATTTGTCCTCGTCACAGGGCCAGTGAATGCTCCCTTAGTCTCTGGTAGCGTGGCTTTTCAGCTCCCATTTTTGAGGTCTGCTACTTGGTGATTTGGAATACAGGGTTGCAAGCCTTTCTCAGCCTCTGCAATCCTTCCTTTCAAACTCCTGTTTCCTGTAAACTGCTGCATATATTTTACATAACATCCTCCTAATTTTTTGCTTTTGTAATTTTTTTATTAATATTATTTCTTGATTCTACTGACTTGCAAGTGCTCACATGGCTGCTGGAGCACTTCTTGATTGGCAGAGAGCGTAGGAGCAATTTGGAATTATTTGGTCTTGCATATGCTTCACCTTTGGGTTCACTTCAGTTTTAAACAACTTCCTCTCCCCCTAATGTTTAGGAAGTGCAGCAGTTAAATCAGCAACTAGAGGAGAAAAACGGAGAGATCCAGCAGATGATAAATCAGCCTCCGTATGAAAAGGAGAGGGAAATCTTACGGCTCCAGAAGAGCTTGGCGGAGAGGGAGAAGGCACAGGCCACGAGCGAGGTCCTGTGCCGGTCACTCACGGACGAGGCGCAGCAGCTTCAGCGCAGGCTGGCATCCACAGCAGAGATGTGCCAGCACCTGGCAAGGCGCCTGGAAGAGAAGCAAAGAAGAGAGAAGAGGGATTCGGGTGATCCGATGCCCGCTGAAAGATCTAGTCAGGTATTCTTGCTATGATTTTTGCAATTATTATTGACTTCCGAAGTGTTGATGGCAATGTGACAGTAGTAGATGAGGAACAATCAGAAACATCTCTCAGTAATTTCACATGTGATTAAAAGAATATGTTCTACATAGCTTTGAACATTACAAATTGAGAATGAAGCTGTTGTCAGTCCCTTACATTTTGGCCATCTCCTTTATCCTTATCCAAGCATCAGAGCTTGGAGAGGAGAGAGCCATTGCAGCAGTTCTCTGCATGGGCTGCAGACAGTAACAGCACTAGATGGTGCTGTGCTTTACCTCTCTTAAAAGCCTTATAAACAAGCCAGCACAAAGCAAATCATCAGCGTTTTAAACCAGGGTTTGTGTTAAGGGCTCTGTGTCCTGCCATCTTCTCAGGTCAGGATTTGGCTTTGCATCTATAGTACAGACCTGCAGAAGAGCTCTTTAGGAAAGAGCTGGCAAAGGAATCTTATCCATTTCTTTTCTGCTCTGTGTATTTCTATATATCTCCCCTGTCCCCCCACCTTTACCCTCATGGTCTCTCCCTGAAACATGCTGCTTCCCTGCATCAGGGATGTTAGACAAATGGCTTCATGCTAGTAAATAACAGAAACGCCACCCAAGCCTTGCTAATGGCAGCTAGCTTTGCATCACCATTGCCTTAGCTGAAGCTTTTCAATGTAGGGTAGAAACGGCTCTTTTCAAGAGGGAACGTGTTGTTCCAGGAATTCTGGTGTTATATAATTCGGGATAATACCACAAGGAAATGACATCAGAGGTGCTGCCTCCAGGATCAGATAGGAGCACAGAGTGTTGCAACTAGTTCTCAGAGAAGAATTTGCAGTCTTGGCCCTCTCAGCTACACAGCAGCAATGCTGTGTTTTGGATGACTGCTCATTCATGCTTTTCTGAACAGTAAACATGGGTCTGATGGTTTTGTAAAAACATTTTAGGAACATTACCAAAGAAAGATGGTATACCTACGTGAGAGTTGCCTGTAAGATGGACGTAGAAGCTGAGTAGGTAGAAGAAGAAAAAATTACTTTTTAAAGGGATTTGAAACTTTTAGTACTATCATATTCTAAGTGCATTTAATAGACAGGAAACTTGATTGACTTTGATACATGTAATAAGTAGCAAACTCTGTACAGTGGGGACTTCCCTTTTGAAGAAGAGAAATTTCAGATGCAATTACTAGTTGATTCTTGGGAATTTTGTACAAAAACGTTTTAAATTACTCATGTACCCTGGGTTTTTCTTCAAGCAGATGTCACTTTTTTCTCTCTTTTTTTTTTTTTTTTAAAGGTATCCTTTTAGTCAATTACATAGCAAGCCAAGTTTTTTTTTTCTTTTTACTAACCTCTTTGTAGCAATGGCCAAAATCAAAAACAGTAATAACAAAGTGAGGTAGAGGCATTTCTGTGGCATGGTCATGTATTCCTCTACTCCAGAGAAGCATTTTCCTGGGAGTTCTTATTAAACTCTCAAACACTGCTCTCATCAGCACGAACCCTCATGCATATAAAGTATGTGGTATTTTTTGTTAACTTTAGTAGACTCAGAGTTTGGCCAGATGGTCATGTTTTTGTGACACCACGTAGACGTACTAAAAAAAATACCATGGTGGTAAAAACCTGAGTACATTTCTGTGCTTATTATTAAAAAAACAAGCAGCCTAACTCTAGGCAAGGCTATGTCTTACTATATAGCATATTTCTATACTATATAGAAACAAATGGAACTAGATGTCTTTATTTCACTGATATTAGAGGAATAAAGCAATGAATACTTTCAGCTTAACAGCGTATTTAAGTAATATTATATCCTCTTTATCTGAAAATTATAGCTGTTAAACGACGAAACTTCACTTCAAGCCCTTATCGCCAAACTACAAGATGAAAACAGGATGTTAAAACACAAAGTGGCTCACGTGAGTACTTTCGTTTTGTACAAGATGGAGTATTTTGAATTACATTAGATCAAGCAGGCCTCACCTATTCCAAACTTGAGCAAATGGCAAGTTCATTGCAGTCTGATAGATTTAGTCTTTTGAACATGACATGTGCTCTGTTCCTTTGGCTAAAAGTAGATCCCTCCCCCACTTTTTTTTTCCTCTGTACATTTTCTTGTTGCTCCTAATCCACTGCAAAAAAAGAGGTAGGTGGAGGCTGCTCTCCCCTCCTTTTTGTGCCTCTGCAGTTTCCTAACCCAGAGGAGCACTGTGTCTAGGGTGACTGCAACCTCTCCATTTGTTTTATATGATACTCTCCTAATCGACTGGCACATGGGGAGGGCTGCCAGCAAAGACACAACCCCTTATGGCACCATCATCTTCCACTCCCTGGTAACTCACCTACACCTGTGGATCAACACTTTATTTTTAAAGAATTTTAGCCCTGATTGAAGTTTCTGTGCAAGCTCCAAAGGCTGTGACTTCCTGTTGTGACTTTCCTGGGTAATCTTTCAGGTGGAAGACTTAAATGCCAAATGGCAGAAATACGATGCCAGCAGGGACGAGTATGTGAAGCGACTGCACGTGCAGCTGAAGGACCTGAAGTCGCAGCTGGAGCACCAGCAGGGCCTCACGTCCACGCACACGAGCACCGAGCGGATGCAGAAGGAGATAGTGCGGCTCAACAAGCTCCTGGAGGAGAAAATGAATGAGTGTGTAAAAGCAAAGAAAGAATTAGAGGATGTGAAGAAGGCTAGCGAAGGAGACAACGAGCGCATACAGATGCTGGAGCAACAGGTCATTAAGTTTCTCTTCCTAGAGATGGGAATTCTTTAGTTTTTCTCAAAATGATGACTGAAGGGGGAAACTGAAGCTGCTGTTGTTGTGTTAGTCTCAGCCATGTTGGCTATATGGCTTCTGAAAATCGCAGTTTAGAAAAAGTCTAATACTTAACAGATTCCTTATCCTTCTGATGTCTTCTAATCAAAAATACTGAATATAAAGATTAAAAAAATGCAAATACTTTGTAAAGCACAGACATGATAGACAAGATAATATTGAGAATTTAGGAGTAAATACTTGCAAACAAATCACAACCTGAAATGTGTCAGGCTTCTTCTATACCTTCCCCCTCCCCCCCCAAAAAAAACCCCAACCTAACATAATTATTAATTTTCCAGGTCCTAGTTTATAAAGATGATTTTACATCTGAGAGATCAGACAGAGAGCGAGCACAGACTAAAATACAAGAGCTTAAAGCAGAAGTTGCTTGTCTGCAACACCAGCTAACGAGAAGACAGGTAAGAAAAGTGACGTAACAGATTTTTAATAAAAAAAAGTTACATTTTAGTTCTGAATCTTGTGGTTATTTTTAATGATTTAAAATATCCTTAAATATTAGTACTTCTAAAATCAATTGAATTTGCAGCTTTTATTTCATAATTAGAATTCAAATGGAGATGCTTCCTGATATGTATGTATGTGTGTGTATGTACACCCTCTATTATATATGTATATATAATATAAAAAATGTAGTATCTATATAATGTCATTTCCCAGTTTCTTTCCTTTGTGTGCTGGATCAGTGTAGGAAGAGAGGGTTCTCAGAATGAATAGTAGGACAACTAGACAATCTGGAGTCTCCTTCTCTGGAGGTCTCCCAAACCCAGCTGGATGCCGCGCTGAGCTCCGTGCTCTGGGTATCCTGCTGGAGCAGGGGCTTGGACTGGATAATCTCTAGAGGTCCCTTCCAACCTCAACTATTCTGTGATCTTTCAAGGAGCTTATTAACCATCCACCCCCTGTATTTACAAGGCTGCTTCAATAAATCTGCAGAAACTAATGCAAGTTTTCTAAATCTTCAGATAAAATATTATCAACATTCCAGATAAAAATGTTAAAATATTCTGTTTAAAAAAAGAAACAAAAAGATGAAGAGCTGCTCTTTCTCCTTCTAGGACTCAAGAGACACAACTAGTAATTTCCGAGTTCACCTTGGCAACCATAAGCACCTGCACGTCCAGACCAATGTGGAACATCCACGAGGCAGCAGCCCAGGCAAGAGGAGAGCAGCCTCTCAGTCGGAGCCAGCTTCTCCGCTGGCCAACGATGGGAATGCAGGCTCTGAGGACAGAGCGCAGGGTGAACTTCGGTGTCCTCATTGCATGAGGTTCTTCAGCGATGAACTCAGTGAGGAATTCCTCAAGCACGTTGCTGAGTGTTGCCAGTGACCAGTGTTGCCAGTGATGGATGGGAGGAGTGCAACTTAATCACTACTTTCTACAAAGTAAAACTTGGCTCTATCCATACCTCCTGCAGTCCTAAAACTGCCATTCAAATGGACAATGCCCAGGAAGCGGTATCTACCTCTTACTCCATTTCACTTTCTCTTGGACTGTATGACAGACTTCAAGATAAAGCAAACTTTCATGAAGATATATATATAATATATATTTTTAACAACTACAAAGAGCAAAGCAAACATAATGCCAATTGTGCGACAAATCAAAGAAGAAACTTAGCATCAGTGCAGGTCTAATTCTTTGAAGCAGTCTGAAAACTTGTGAAAATCACTGAGCTTCAACTATCATTCCTTTTTCAAAGATGGAAAGATGCTGCCTGAAGAATTGGGGAGGAGGAACAATTTGGCAATAGGTAGCAGGAAAAAATACTTTGCTTTATCTAAATTAAAATTGAACACTTGAATATCTAAAAACCCTTTTCAATTGAAAATGGGAGAAGTGAGAGAAATACAAATGAGTCATTTATTACCTAAAACTACCTTATCTTTTTGCACAGAAACTATGCACAGGGATATTTATTTTTTTCTGTGCCGTAAATATTTTACATATTTGTAAATGTGTATTTGTGTAATTATATTCAAAATTTATAATGGCACAATGATTATTTTTATAATAAAAGTGACAGTGCAGTAGCTTTACTGCATTGGTAGAGTATCAAAGACATTTCTTTTTGTGGAATTATTAAATGTAAAATAGTCCAAGTAACTACGCTTAAGGGTTTACTAAATGTCAGGGTTTCAGATATGAGTTATTCCATTACTTCACTAACAACCCCTCTCTCAGACTGTTTTCAAGTAACAGGGTGAAAATCATTCCTCAGTTATGAAAGGAAGAATGACCTTTCAGATACTGCGTGGCAGGGTAGGGTGTTCCTGTGTATTTGTCTACACCACAGCTAGCTGAGGTTTATTTTTATCCTCTCTACAGTGGAAATAACTTAAACTACCAGAAGAGCAGTTTGAGACATATTAGTGGGTAAAATGTCTTCTTTTTTTTTTTTTCCACCCTTGACTCCAGGTGTTTCTCAGAGCTGGGGTTAAGGATAGTGCATAAACAAAGTAAAGGCCTGCTCTAACCACAACCTTTTAAGTTTAAGGAGTTTACTTTTTATAACAGCACCTCTGTCCTTCCTGCTTCACTTACTTTCCAGTTCTGTACTAAACCGTCTTTCTTAAAGGTGTTCTTTAAGATGCTTTCTTTTTCTTTTACTGATTTGAGATGATCAGTTTATGTCATTCAGAAGCCCAAGCCTGCACCAGCTTTCCAGGCACATGAATCCCATAGGTGCACTTGGACAGACTAACCTATAACTCTTTCTTTGATAGATATGCAAGTATCAGGTATGTAAATGTGCAGCACCCAGTAAGAAGTTCACAGTAAGATATTCTTCTGGTTTTATGACCTGTGAGTTCCCCTATCACAGTATGGATGAGAATCCAAATCTCAGGAAAGGAGGGCATTCTTTAATGCATGGAAACTGTCTGGATCTGCACAGAGAACCATTCTGGACCAAGAGATGGAAGCTGATGATGTTATAGATCAAGCACACAGTGAAATGCATCTCCTATCACCTTGCCTTCTAAAGGAGTACAATAAGTAAAGAAGTAGAAAAAATTTAGAGCAGATCTTTGATTTTTTCATTACAAAAATACTTCACTTCCCAGGGCTATTTTAATGTACCCTTTCCCATTGGTATGTCCCTTCCCCTTTACAAGCCATTTCAAGCTCGTAAAAAGTCTTATCTAGTCATTACTGTCTTTGCACTAACCTAGAAAGCAGTTACACGTGTATCTAATTAGTATGGTCTTTGTATTAACCTAGAAAGCAGTTACACATGACTGTGAAAGAACTGTAAGTGTCTCTAAATCTTTTCTTTCCTTCCCACCCCGCCCCCCCCTTTAATAGATACAAAACTCTTCTGGGGCCTGCAGAAGAATTTCTGCATTTTTATATGCAGAAATATGTCTCAAAATATTAAGAAATGCCAAGACATTATGATCAGGCAAGCCTTTCCTTAGAAGTTCTCCCTCTTTAAATTATCTTTCTCAAGTTGTACTTTCCAAAACACTGTGAGTTCAAAGCCAAGCCAAGCCCAGGGAATGCCTAGGGGCTACCTTCTCGCAAGTGGTCTTCAGCCCACCCAGTGTCCAACACGGGCAAACTGGTCCTCATCAGTCCTGGGTCTAATTATATTTCCATTGGGATGGATTAAATGCTATTTGTTAATAATGCCAGGACATGCTGGATGCCTACAGAGGTGGGGCTGTAGCACATACCACCACAGCAGCTGCAGGCAAGACTGACCTGTTGAATCACAGAAAACATAACCTGAGAAACCCCAGGAGATCCTTTAATCCCTATATCCAGCCTTAAGGGACAGGAGATAACAGTAATGGCAAAGGCAGGACAGACCTACAGAGCCTACAGCTTCAAACGCTTTTCTAGTCTGCTGCAGCTTGCAGGGCAACGTTTGCTTCCTTCTCCAGAGATTTAAGACCCTATCTTTTTGAATACATCTTCAATAATGTCTACAGATTAAGTGCACACTAATAATAAAACTAGCTACAAGAATAAAACTCATTCAAAAGCGGATACCTATATTTTATGGTACTTTTTTTTAAAAAAAAACTTCCATTTCCTGTGACTTTGATGAGTCTGTGTATATATATAGAAAGCAAGGGAAATTCCAAACAACACGCCACCCCATTATACTCAGAACAGCAGTGCTTCTCATTGTAAAAAAGAGAAGTCTCAAGAGCTTTCTACAAAATCAATGGGAATTCAGAGTATGCTACAGGAATATTTCCTAGTACCCTGCTCCTGTAACAATTAAACAGCAGGTTTACGCTAAAATCCTAAGTATAAGGAACACACACAATGTATTGAGTTTATTCTTTCCCTTTCTGTTTTTTTGCACCCACTTTTCCTTCTCTTTTCAGACCTGCTGCTATGAAGCCCTTAGGCCACAAACTGTCTTCCTGACGAGTGCCCGATCTCTCATCCCTACAGGGCCCGATAACCTCCTGAGGAACTTGGGGTATTTCTGAACACCCAGCCCCGCTGTGGATAGTGCTGGCCCAGATGGTGGGTTACAGGGAACCTGGTGCAAGTTGTATCTCTAGAAGACACCAAAAGAGCACATGAACCCTCCTGGTTTAACCGCACACGTGGCCTTGCCCGCCCGGTCTGCCCTCATGCCCGCTCTGGAGGGCCTGGTTCAGGGTCCAGCGAGGTAGGGTCAGCTGATGGCTCACGCTGACACCAACCTCCTGGGGTCCCACACTCACTTTGAGCCAGGCTTTTATACCCTAATTTCTTGTGGAATGAGAGGGAAGAAAGAGCAGTGGGATCGGTTCAGCCCAGCTTGCAGATCCTCCATCTCCTCACACGCCACCATGGTGACCCTCTTTTGTCTGCACCCTTCTCCGTCACTCTCTAATTTGCCCAAACACTGTCAAATCCATGTTCACATAAACACCCCTTTCCTTTCTCCTGCCAGGCACCTTCTGGGTGACGTGCAAACACCACAGGTGGTTTCACAGCATGGGTGCACCTGCTGCTACACAAACCCAATGTTCACCAGGCAGCTCATCAGCCCACCCGGTGCTCCCCTGCGTGTCTCGGCACTTTGCTACTCCTGCTCTCAGCAGCACATCCCAATGCTCCTCTGGAGCAACGGCGTCGCTCGGAAAGGCGCAACGGAGCAGGGCAGTGGCTCCTACAGATCCATCCCTACTCTACAGAGGTTTGCGAGCCACCTCCTCGCCCAAGGCCGAGCTCACACTGCGTGGTTCTCATGCAGGGTGAGGGACCAGCCTCCAGGGGATGTTGGAGATATCCACCTCAGCCATGGCCGAGGCCCGGGCCTAGGCCCAGGCTCACGAGGCCCTGCAGGAGGCCCCGCTCAGTCGCAGCCCTGGCCAGGCCCGAGCGCAGCTGCAGCTGGCGACACGTCCCGCTCAGCACCTGCGCTGGGCACCTGCGCCTCTGCAGCGGGACCGAGCGCGGCCACGAGAGCAAATGCCTCGTTGCCCCACTACCCCTCACTGCCTTGCTGCCGCAGTGTGAGGAGGACCATCCCACCGGCACCGTTGCCTAGAGGTAGCATTCCTGTAGGGAAGTCTAGAGATTATTAAAGTATAAGTCTATCATTAGCAGAAGTGGGAAGATGTAAAAGTCTAGAACTTACAGAATATGTTACCAGTAAAAGTCCACGTTGACTTGCTCTAATGAACTGCTCCAAAAACAATCTAAAAATCAGCAGCACTGATTTGCAAGGGATGTTCCTAGCAAGGTGAGCAGGTTCAGAGGGGAAGAAATGCGAGGACCCAAAGCACATAATGATTGCACATGATGTGGCTATAGCCTCCTGGAAAAGCAAACAAATTACAGTTCAGAGGACTAAGCTTCTCCTTACAGGCCAGTGTCCTGAAACGAGTTTTCGAACAGGAAGCTGAGGCATACGATGCCAGTAACTGTAGGATCATGCCTAAAATTATACATGAAACACAACTCCCTGAAAGGGAGCTAAGGGATAGAAAATGAAGATTATAGGGCATTAGGGAAGCAATAAAGGAATACAGCGGCTCCTACAGGCAATAGCCACGCTTGTGCCCAAGCTGTGGACACATGCTTTCCCTTTGCTGAAACCAGATGGGATTTTAGCCTTGATAGAGGGCAAAGAATGCAGGATAGATTCTGTCTTTACAGATCACTATTAGCCCACTTCCACCCTATTCCAGTTCATAGTGCTTATCATTCTCATTCACAAAAGTGGTTCCTGGAGCAGGAACCAGAGCTGGTGACAGCAGCCACCCAGCCAGGTGACTCTAATGACAAGGAAAGCAAGCCAGGCACCAAGCGCCACACGACTGACCTCCTTGCTCCCGCGAGTACCTCTGCAGCATGTGGTGCAGCGGCCAGCAAAGGACCCTGAGTGCAGACATCACGTCACTGGGGCACTGCAAGGCTTTGCACCATTAAGGGGCTGGTTTTCGTGGAAGAAGCTTCCAAGCCGGCAGCAAACACCCAGGACAGCTGAAGGTTGCTCTGGGGAATACAGGAGGTCTCTGGTAACCTGAAAGATCTGCGATACGTGTGAAACGGGGATTCCTTTCACTGCAGAGCACAGGGCTGTGCACAATGGCTCCTTACACACAACACAGTGCTGTGCAGCAGAGCAGGTCTGCAAAGGAGAATAAAGTTGAACGTGTTTGAGGGGGACCTCAAGGCAACGGGCAGCTGAGAGAAGCCAAAGGGGACAGGCCAGGCTGCTTTACAGACCTGTCTGCACTAAGTCTCAGCTTTAGAAGCAGTCTGGGGCTGAGGCCGGTGTGGGGTGCAAGCAGCCAGGCAAGGAAGACCCTGCAGTGCCGGCCGCAGTGCTTTGGAGGTGGCAGGAAAACCTGGTGCCAGCAGCCTCCTCCTGGTCTGAGGAACCAGCTACAGCCCCTTTTGTGACCTGTTCCGAGGCTCCAGAGCCCTGCACCTACACCACAGCTTTGCCCTCC